TTTTTAAATGGTGTTGCCTCGGAAGGGGAGGGTAGTCTTATACGGTGAGTATAGCCCAAAACCTAGGTTTTAACTGGAAAATTAGGGGGTCGTCTTATACACCCAGTCGCCTTATACGCCGGAAAATACTGTAATTAACAAAACTCACACTAGTGTGAATGGGGACTTAATGTGCTGAAAACTCAACCTCCAAAGATCACTATTTACTCCAACCAATATATTCCTTACAAAATTAAATGTATTATTACATGGCACTTGACTCTAGGAGGCATGTCATGTACTGTATGTACGCATACAAACTACAGCTACTTGCCCACGCTGCTTCTTTGCATTATAGGCAAACAATTACATTTACAGCTATAATGCTAATGTATTCAAGTGATACTTTAGTCAGAAAATTAAGTCCTGCTACTGTAGATCACTTCAGGCTGGCCCCTTTTGCAGGTATATGTAACTCATTAAAAATAAGTTCCTATACTGTTTAAAGTCCAGTAATAGACTGCCTCACCCTACTTGGCACATGCTCAGTTGATCTCTGTTCTTTGGCACTATGTTGAATTTGTAGAGGCCAATTTACTGACAGCCTAAAGGTTTACTGCTGCTCAGAGGATCCGGGCTTCGGACAGCCTCCAGCAAGAAGTAACTGAAGCAGTTCTGGAGGCAATTTACAGCACACAGTAATTTTGTTAGAATGTGGAATGTGTGTTTTTTGCTAAAGAACATTATTTTTAATCAAGTTGTTAAGTTTCGTTTTACCATTTGGAACTGCAAAAAATGCTCAATTGTTTTAGGTATGTTTTGTGATCTTGGCTTCCCTACCAAAAAGTGCAGACAAGTCCCAGGGTTCACCTTTATGCATTTCAATCAATGTATAACAACAGCTATTTGCTTTGGATAAGAGCCTGTTCACTGTGACCACAAGGCATTTTTTAGCACTGTCCGCTAGATATGGCCGTGGACAAGTTGCTGCACTGAACAGTCCTTGCATGTCTTTACATGAGCACTTTTCAGTGCGGTAATAACAACTGTACAGTGCTGTCATTGGATGAGGAGTGGGAGGACCATGACCTAAATACAGAAAACATGTAAGCATTGGTATGTTATTGCTAGACATTGATCTAGCATCTTAAAGGGTAACACCAATTTCACTGGAGCAACTTAAAAATAAAAAAAGTCTACTGTAGTCTACTGTGGCTGATACAATTGCTACACTGGTCATATTGTAATTGAATGTTTTTAAAAATGTAACTTTCTTCCTGTAACTTTCTGTAACATCCAGTGCAACCTGGAGGTATTCTGTACAACTTCTCCAGGAATATAATTTCCTGCTTTTCTGCACTAAAATACAAATCAGATTTTAGGCATTCTCTACAACAAAAACTTCACTATGGTGAGGTACTTCCAAGAGGTTAATCACTTTTAAACAAATGCTTACCCTGCAGCTTTCTTCTTTAGAACATTGCAAGTCCATCAGCTGATTAATAATGAAAAAGTCTTTTCAATTCAGAATTAGTATCCAAAGACACAAAATGGAACAAACTGTTTTTTTTTCAGCACAGAAACAAGTAGGAATATGCAACAAAGTTTGTTCTATAGCTGTTAGTATAGGTTGAATGATTTGGTTTTTTTTTAGCCCCTTGAGCTATATTTTTATAATGTTTTATGTTATCATAAGGTAGTTTACCCATTTTTGGTTTAGCCCAGCTGGCTTCAAGTGTTTTGGTTTCCTTGATATCTGTGTCCATCCCCAAGACCTTAATGAGCACAGTTGATCAGGAAATATCCAATTGCTTCTTGGGGGATCAGGAAGGAATTTCTTTCCCTACTGGAGAAAATTGGATTATGCTTTTTTTTGCCTTCCTCTATATCAGCTGTAGAATTGTATATTTTTTTTTACCCTTTTATTGGTTGAACTAGATGGACTTATGTCAACCAGACTAACTATGTAAAGATGTAATTATGTATCTGTGAGCACGACCATCCCAACCCCTAACAAGATGTGAACAATTTGAGTATTCTCTTTTTGCAATGTGAATAAAATATTTACTATTTAATGCCATGGATGTATAAAATTGATTGAATTTTTACTAGGATTTAGCGTAATATACCATCTCATCCTGAAGAAGAGGAGCTCACTGTGATACTTGTATATGGACTATACACATTAACACATTATACCATTTTATGTAGATATATACTATATAATATTACTGATAGGTGTTCATTTCCCATCTATGTTAGGCAAGATTTCAATATCGCAATATAGAGATTGTTTTTAACAGTATATGTTGTTTATTTTAATAATGAGAATAAACTATGTTATTTTAGATGATTTAGCTCTGCCTCGGGTTGTGCCTGTTAAAGTCCGATATTTTGGAGCAATGTGTTTGTTCCTTTAACCTATATGATACTTTACAAGGATCTAGCACAGCGGAAGTCCATTTAACAAGATCGACAAAAGCGCATTTGCTCTGTAAATTATATTCAGCACAATGGAAGCACTTTCTTTCGATGTTTTAGTGAAATTCTATAAGGTGCACAACGCTAAGCATAAAGTTTCGTACCCATAACAAACAATTCAAATTAATTTATATTGGTCTAATCTCAATAAAGTGAATTCTGGTTGGTAGTATGCGTTTTATTGCATTTTGCACTAGGGTGTTATCCCTTGCATGGTTCATTGTATACACCTGTTTATTTTTAAATCAAGGATTTCAAGAAAGGGTTGATTACATGCACAGGTAAAGTATAAAAAAAAATCCCATAAGTATTTTGAGCTGAAATATGTTACAGCTCAGTCTATTATTTATAATAGAAAAATACAAACTAGACAGACATAGGAGACCGAACAAAAATCACATTATGAGAGCAAACTTTCCCTTTGGCTACTTGAGGAAGCAAGATTATAGTTCACTGTCTAATTTGTTTGTTTCACAGCCCTGCTACAAAATTGTCACCGTTCATCATATTTCCAATCTCCAACATTTTTTCTTCTTTCCATATTCTCCTCTCCTAACTCCCTGAGGGTTTCCGCTGTCACTTTCAACTTGTCACATGGCTACTTAGCTTATCAGCTAAATTTTGTGTTCTCTGGTTTCCTTGCCTGTTTACTGTCTGCTAGTCTTGTACACTGAGCTGTTCCATTAAAGTATTCCCATTTTACAAGATTTGCACTTTGACAGAATAAAAACAAACATCCAGATTTAATAAAAAGGAGAATCATATAGCAAGTACCTGTTTAAAGATGAGCTCTAGACAGATATAAAAGACACACATTAATGCAGAACTGTAATCATCAATACATCATGTGCTGACAAAAAGCATGTTGATAGAAAGAGAAAGCAGAGGGATGAGCTCAACACTGTGCTGCTTCTCTTTCACTGTCCAATCATGGGTTGGGGCAGGACAACCAGACTTAGAAGAAGTGGGATGAATGATGATGGCCATTAGACTTTTATTATTTATTACTGATGACCAAGGGTGAATTTGCCATAAGGCAAACAAAGTGTTTGCCTTGGGTGGCATTTTTCAGGGTGGAGCTGCCTCCCGGAAGAAGGAATGCTGGTTGTCCTGCTCATGCCGAGGAGGCTCCAAGGGGCACTGGGGCTGGGTAGAAGGCAGAAGAGCAAAATGAGGGGAGCCAGGGGAGTGACCATGAGACTCTGGGAAGGAAGCCGGTATTCCCGAGAGCTGTGATGTTAAGTCTCTCTTAGTCTCTCTCCTTTACTCCCAGGGTGAGACCGTGGTGTGCGGGGGGGGGGGGGGGGGGGGGTCGCGGGGTGGTGTGTGGGGGGGACAAAGGTGGGGGGCTGGTGAGTGAAGGGGGGGTATGGTGGGGTTTAGCAGTTTTTTTTGTGTTGCCTAGGGCAGCAGAAAACCTACATACATTTACTCTTTACTTGGAGATTTAATTTATTCTTTATATTTTTGTTTTTCTTTTTGTGTTTTGTTTTTATTTATTATTATTGTTTTTATATATTATTTAGTTTTTCATCTTGTCTTATTAAAGTTCATTGTGGATATGTTTTTATTTTATATACCATTTGCAATATGTTTTTAGAGACCAAATGAGGACTCCACTTTACCTAGAAACTATAAATAACATCACAGAGGTGCACTTTGTACCAGGGGCGGACTGACAACTCACGTGGCCCCTGTGTCCTTGCCCAAACTCAAAAAAGCCTATGAAAAAGGTACCAGGGGCATCTCATGGGGCCCCCTACTGACCCCGGGCCCTAGGGCAGTGCCCGAGTTTCCAATGGTCAGTCTGCTCCTGCTTTGTACAAAATCCTATAGCCTGGCTATGAAATTTTACCATGTATCTTTATCTCTACAAACTAGCCCTGAAGAAGGGGGAGGCATTTCTCCCAAAATGCATTTACTTTTATCTTCAATAAACAACTATAAAAATCATCAAGTGAGCCATTTTTCTGGACACTGAGCTCTCTCTGCAATCACCCAAGAGGTAATGCCCCCATTGTACTTATCAGAAAAGTAGCAGCCCTAGAATGCAATGGAGTCCATCACCTACCACCTACAATTGGGATATAACCCATTGGAAGCAAAACATTTATAAATAGACCCCCTAAAGTAAATATAATCCAAATTCTCTCTATTTTAGAGATATGAAAGGTGGGGGTTTACCACTTTCATCATTTGTTAATGCTGTTGTCCTAAAAGCGATAAAAAACCTAAAACCAAAAATGTATTTAAATAATGTGAACCAGATGACCAGAGACTGCAAGACAGTGCAGGGGATAAGACGCACCTGACCATAAGACGCACCTAGGTTTTAGAGGAGAAAAACAAGAAAAAAAAAATATTCTGACCAGAGACTGCAAGACAGTACAGGGGATGACCAGAGACTGCAGACGGTACAGGAGATGACCAGAGACTGCAAGACAGTGCAGGGGATGACCAGAGACTGCGGACACAGTACAGGAGATGACCAGAGACTGCGGACACAGTACAGGAGATGACCAGAGACTGCGGACACAGTACAGGGGTGACCAGAGACTGCGGACACAGTACAGGAGATGACCAGAGACTGCGGACATAGTACAGGAGATGACCAGAGACTGCATACAGTACAGGGGATGACCAGAGACTGCAGTACAGGGGATACAGGGCATACAGATGATCAAGAGACTGCAGACAGTACAGGGGATGATCAAGAGACTGCAGACAGTACAGGGGATGACCAGAGACTGCAGACAGTACAGGGGATGATCAAGAGACTGCGGACAGTACAGGGGATGATCAAGAGACTGCAGACAGTACAGGAGATGACCAGAGACTGCAAGACAGTGCAGGGGATGACCAGAGACTGCAAGACAGTACAGGGGATGACCAGAGACTGCAGACGGTACAGGAGATGACCAGAGACTGCAAGACAGTGCAGGGGATGACCAGAGACTGCAGACAGTACAGGAGATGACCAGAGACTGCGGACCTTTAGGGAGGGAGGGGGAGCGGGTACCTGAATTTGACAGGTACCCGCTCCCACTTCCACGGAGTTGTCCTCCCTTTACTGTGGGCACACGGCTGTGACAGCCGGGTGACCACTGCGCATGTGCGAGAAGCGCTGCACTTTGTGAATGGTCTGGCGTCTTCTGGGACCTGTCATGTGTTCTAGAAGATGCCGGACCATTCACAAAGTGCAACACTTCTTGCGCATACGCAGTGGTCACCTGGCTGTCACAGATGCCGGTGCAGGAAGAAGCCAGCGCGGGAAGACTGTACAGCGCTGGACCAAGGAACAGGTAAGGTCCTGCAGCAGAGAACAGCTGAGCGGCCGGCCCGGTATTCTGAGATGGTGGCGGCGCAAATACCGGACCGGTTGCTTTATATTTGCTCCATAAGACACACTGACATTTCCCCCCCTTTTTTTTGGGGGGAAAAAAGTGCGTCTTATGGAGCGAAAAATACCGTACTTATATATATATATCTTGTATACAGCGCTGTTAGTTTTTGTTTAAATATGTGCAATAAACAAGTATATGCAATTCTCTGCAATGTTCATGTACTCAAATACAAATTAAACGTGATTCAGTAAAGTGCCCTTTGTGCTTCAAAAAAAATCTCTCCGTGCATATAAAGTGTCCAAAAAATTGTCCATGTGCTTCCAATTATTCACAGTATAATGCACAATGCCTTCAAAACTTATTAAAGTGTTCGTGCTCAAAAAAGAGCTCCATTTTCAACAATCAGTGCAAAAGTGTTCCCAAAATCCTCCACCATAAACACAAATCACAGATGGGTTACACAACACTTAGTAACACGAATAACCACCATCAGCCTTTGCGGGACAGCTGTACCCCTTCCTTTTAAATGTCTCACACAACATGTAGGAAGAGATAGAAGGAGGCTACCATAGTGTGAAATCTTTGGTAGTCTTCCTCCATCTCTCCCTACATGTTGTATGAGACATTTAAAGGAAGGAGTACAGCTGGCCCAAGAAGGAGAAGACTGATGGTGGTTATCCATGTTACTAAGCGTGTTTATTGCACATGTTTAAATAAAAACCAATAGCACTGTATAAAAGATAGAGCCAAATCCAAAAATGTTATATATCACAGGAGGTGTGTTCCTGGCCAGATCACCAGGTGAAAACAGAGGGAAAAGCCTAAAAAAAAACCAAAACGAATGCATGGTAAGCTGCAATATATTACATTTTTGGTTATGGGTTTAATATCAAACATAACAAACTATGCTTGAGTTCTTTGAACTGTAGAGCTGGGGTAAATTTTACCTGCCTAGATCTCTCCACATTATCTGATTGATAGCCTGTCAAGACCAGCTTTTTTGTCCTATTAATTTGGGGTTTTCCCTTTTTTTACATACAGTCATTTTAAACTTTAGCTTGGACACTGTGCACTCAAAACACCCTACATCATCATTCCAGGTACACCACAACATCATGCCATATGTTCATATACCCAGGGGTGGACTGACCATTTGGAAACTCGGGCGGTGCCCGAGGGCCCGGGGTCAGTAGGAGGCCCCATGAGATGCCCTTGGTACCTTTTTCATAGGCTTTTTTGAGTTTGGGCAAGGACACAGGGGCCCCATGATCCCCATGATCCCATGAGTTGTCAGTCTGCCCCTGCATATACCCAATATTTCAAAAATATAAAAGTTACAGCCATTTGGCATGGTTTAGTAAAAATAGGCCAACACCAGGACAGTACGTGAATGTGACCAAGTAGAATGGCCTAAAATGGGGATCCACAAATAAGGCAGGTATTTTGCTGCCAATGCCATAACTACATGGCTGCTGTTGGGTTGGGAATAAGAGGAGGTCTGGAGAGGGAAGCTTTAAATCCAACAAACACAGAAAATCAGTGTGCATGTGAAGATAACACAAAGCCAGTACTGCATCATTAACCCTGATCCTCCGAAGTCTCCATTCTAGAACGGATGACTGCCAGTACAAGTCTTTTCTTCACAAGTCCTATCTGTGAGAAGATTTATTGATGTTGCTTTTTATTTCTGTCGGTGTTGCTGTTGTAGAGCTCCCCTCACTCCCTGCCTGGTAAAACATTGTTCGTAGAGCAAGAAGTGAGGGAACATCTATCTAGCTGAGCCCTGGATAGCAGTAAAAAAACTAAGGATGAAGACATTCAATGCATTTGCACCTCATCTAAAATTAAGAAGAAAACGTTTTGGCTAGACTTGCACTTTAAGATAAATTACATCAAATGACAACACTGCTAGTGCCACAAGAAAAGGACCTGGGGGGGGGGCATAAATACTATGCTATTGGGCCCCATGAATTGTAACTATGCCCCTGTTTTCTACACTATAAATTCAGATATTCAGATGTATAAACTCAAAGACATTTAAGAAAAAAATTGACCTGCAGCAGGGAAGTTTTGCAAAACATTTGAAGGAAAGGGAAAAAAAAGGCCTAGACTCAAAACATGAGTTCTGTTACACTAAAAATAACAGCATACCATGTCAGAGATTCAGAAAAAAAATAGCAGCAAGGTGGTAGTTTTAGGAAGCAGGGGCGGACTGACCATTTGGAAACTCGGACACTGCCCGAGGACCCGGGGTCAGTAGGGGGCCCCATGAGATGCCCCTGGTACCTTTTTCATAGGCTTTTTTGAGTTTGGGCAAGGACACAGGGGCTCCATGATACCCTACTGCTCGGGGGACCCATGAGTTGTCAGTTAGGAAGATATAAATATAGGCATTATTATCCAAGCTTGGCAGACACAAGGCAAGTGTGTTCTCTACAGTAAAAACTACAGTGTAGTATATCAAATTTACTTTAAAATAATTATTGCAAACCAAAGGGTAAGAATTTTAAATTCTGAGCAAGCAGGAGCTTTGTTTTAGAAGAGACATGCTATGCTATCATGCTATGTCTCTTCTGCACTAAATTACCTGCCTGTTCCCAATCCTCTTTGGTGACCGTGTCCCTGGAAAAAGGAACACTACACATGCACAGGTGTTACATCATCCTGAACCAACCAACAAAGCATACTGTATGTGCAAAGTTACATCATCTTGCACCAGTCAATAAAGCACATGTACAGGAGTTACATCATTCTGCACCAACCAACGAGCACATATGTGCAAAGTTACATCATCCCTGCGCCAGCCAATGGAGCACATGTACAGGAGTTACATCATCCTGCACCAGCCAATGGAGCACATGTACAGGAGTTACCATCATCCTACACCAGCCAATGAAGCACATGTACAGGAGTTACATCATCCTGCACCAGCCAATGGAGCACATGTGCAGGAGTTACATCATCCTGCACCAGCCAATGGAGCACATGTACAGGAGTTTTCCATCACCCTACACCAGCCAATGGAGCACATGTACAGGAGTTACATCATCCTGCACCAGCCAATGGAGCACATGTACAGGAGTTGCATCATCCTGCACCAGCCAATGAAGTACATGCGCAGGAGTTACATCACCCTGCACCAGCCAATGAAGCACATGTGCCAAGAAGCACATGTGCAGGAGTTGCATCATCCTGCACCAGTCAATAAGCACATGTACAGGAGTTACCATCCTGCACCAGCCAATGGAGCACATGCAGGAGTTACATCACCCTACACCAGCCAAAGAAGCACATGTTCAGGAGTTGCACATGCATCAGTCAATGAAGCACATGTGCAGGAGTTACATCATTCTGCACCAGTCAATGAAGCACATATACAGTTGTTGCATCACCCTGCACCAGCCAAAGAAGCACATGTGCAGGAGTTGCATCATCCTGCACCAGTCAATGAAGCACATGTACAGGAGTAACATCATCCTGCACCAGCCAATGAAGCACATATACAGTTGTTGCATCACCCTACACCAGCCAAAGAAGCACATGTGCAGGAGTTGCATCATCCTGCACCAGTCAATGAAGCACATGTACAGGAGTTACATCATCCTGCACCAGCCAATGGAGCACATGTGCAGGAGTTACATCACCCTACACCAGCCAAAGAAGCACATGTTCAGGAGTTGCATCATCCTGCACCAGTCAATGAAGCACATGTGCAGGAGTTACATCATCCTGCACCAGTCAATGAAGCACATATACAGTTGTTGCATCACCTTGCACCAGCCAAAGAAGCACATGTGCAGGAGTTACGTACATTATTCTGCACCAACCAATGAAGCATATGCTCACCAAAATTATTATCATCATCCTGCACCAGCCAATGAACCATATGTGCAGGAGCTACATCATCCTGCATCAGCCAATGAAGCACATGTGCAGGAGTTACATCACCCTGCACCAGCTGATGAAAGCCATTGGAAACTCAGGAAAAGGTGGCTAGAAGATGCGAGTGATGGCAAGGGACCCAGCAGACTTTAGTTCTGCTTAAGTAGAGTTAGGCAGTGCACAAGCTGGTTGAATATAGCCAAAATGTGCAAACACAGGCAAATTGTTTTGTCAGAAATTACTTTTGTTAATGCTAAGAAACAATAGTAGTCTGAGTGTAACCGATGGTTGCAACCTGGGAGGCATTCTGCTGCAAACTTAATCACTCCTTGTGGAATCTGGGGGTGATTACCATGGAGCTCCTTAGACCCTGAACCTCTGGTCTTGGACAAATTGACTAATGGAACCACATTTCAAAGACAACAAGCACAGGACTAAATGTAGATATACAAGAAAGTGACAACAGGACCACATGTTGAGATAGAAGCACAGAAAGTTCTCTTTCAAAAAAATTATTCATTTGTATTTAATTTTTTTTTTTGTCTGAGTATAGATCTATGTATGTCCCAAGCAAACATAGACCAGCTGCGATTTCTCCTGCGCTCTAGGGCCCAGACTGGTGGCAAATAGATGGAACCAACACCAGAGCAAGCGACCACCAGTATATTTCAAGGTTGTGCAGCTCCAAAACTGGGCTGGGGAAGCCCGATCGATACTGCAAAGTGAAACAAAAAACAAGATTTCCATGCAAAAAAATGTACCGCTTTGAGCACAGAAATATGGACATAATCAGACTGCTAGGGAGGTTAATAGACTTTATGCTATACTCTGATATATACAGTATATATATATATATATATTTTTTTTTTTTTTTTTTTAATAAGTCTGTTTTCATGATTAACTTTTTTGTTTGAGTATAGTTCTATGTTTGCTTCGAAAGTGAAACAAAAAACAAGAAGCGCACCAACCATGCGCATTACCTCAGTAACAGAATTTATTAGCTCTGAGGAAGAAGGCATAGCCTTCGAAACGCGTCAGTAATACTGAGTGTCTACCCCCATGATGGGATTCGCACTGGCTTCTTATCTTTGAAGTTCCTTTGAGGACT